TAAAGCACTCAGTATAAAAACAATATTGTTTCTTATGTTTCAATTACTGACACCAGCCATTATTTTATTTTCTGACATGGCAACAGAACATAACATTACCTTGCTATACACCTTACAGGCAAACAAATGGACAGCAATTTTTTTGTAGCTATCTTTTGTGTTTTGCCATAAATCAGAATTTTAACAAGCATTGCCTTCCCCATCCCCAATCTGTTCACATGACCTACTCAAAATCAGAATAAAGTAAAATATGTCCATATAAGCGTTCACTAGTTTTTCTGTTCAATTAGGTTTAAAAACAACAACAACAACAAAGCAACCCAGACCACAGTAACATGAAAAACAGATAGGGAAGTACGACCACATGGAATAACAAATATTGAAACAGATGGTAACACCATCCCCATAGCTTTTCCATCAAGGAAGGGAAYATGCCAAATCAAGATGTCAGATATGATCTTTAATAGGGAGTGAGGTTTGCAACACTTCTGAAAACCCAGCAAATTACTAAAAGTGTTCTTACCAAACCTCATGGATAAAGAAAACAAAGTCATAAGTTGCTGCAAAAAACTGAAGTTCAAGTCTACRGCACAAAAGAAAGACATGCAGAGTATATTGTGTAGACATTCAAGACAAAAGAATGCAAAAACAAASAACAGTAAAAGTGAACTTGGGGAACAGAACAGAGTGACCATTATCTCCAGGTACAGGAAAACAGTGCTATGGACACCGCTGGAAAAAAAAAAATCAACTAGATATGGACACAAAAGATAAATGGAAGAAAGTAGTGAGTACCAGACCTGAGCATTAATTAGTTGTAATTAAAAAACCCCAAGCCTATGAAAATGAAAGCAAAATCATTAAGTTAACATGGAAATAGACGCACTGTGACAAAACCGCAGCMTATAATAACCATGCAAATATCATAATGTATACCGATGAGATGAATTAATTAAGCAGACATGTTAAGAAATTAATTAAGAGGCCATTTTTTAAAGCCTGACAATTAATTAAAATGCAATTGATAAGCACAGCATTGATTACAGAGCGAGCGGTTCTATTTCGAGGATCAATCGCAAAGGCGGCCGGTTGCAGGGTGGGGGAAGGACCACGGGTTCGTATGGAGAACCGAGAGGCGCCAGGCAAGGAAGGCGAGCACCGGCAGCAGCGAAGCAGCGGCAGCCGCGTCCCCGCCGCCACCCAGCCCCGCTCGGCACCGGGACCCGGCCCTGCCCGCCCCCGGGAGCGGACCCCGCTCGTTACCTTCCAGGCCTGGCTCTGCCGCAGGTCCTGGAAGTCCTGCCCGTAGATGGACTCGAGCACCTGGAGCTCGTTCTCCTGCCGCAGCTGGTAGCTCTCGGGCGGCTCCGCGCCGCCGGCCCGGGCCATGTCAGCGGCGGGGGCGCACAGCGGCCATGGTGGCGGCCCGCGCTCTGCCAGGCTGGAACGGGGCCGGAGCGCGGCCGGCACCGCCCCCGGCGGGAGGGGAGGAGAGGAGAGGAGAGGAGGGGCCGGGAGCGGGACTGCCCGGGGCCGCGGGTTCGTGCACACCTGGAAGGGCCCCTCGGGGATCACCGAGTCCAGCGCCCTGCTCCGGACAGCACTCCCTAAAACTAAACGGTGTGACTGAGAGCACTGCCCAACCTCTGGGAGGTTTGGTGCCATGACCGCTTCCYCGGGAGCCTGTTCCAGTGACCTCSTCTGGGTGAAGAACCTTTTCTGATGTCCAGTTTGAACTCCCTCCAGGTATATCTGCTACATAGCGATAGGCAGCAAATACGATTAGATACTGTGTAGATTTTTTTTAATCGACCTTGAGAAAAATTCACAAAAGGGAAAAAATAACCACGGAATTCTGAATAGATTTCATGTAAAGCTGGGGCAGGAWACAAGTTCCTGTGAAAACTATGGAAAACTATAGACAAGTGCTTTAGTGACTGATAGCAGGTGGAAGGAGAGCAGCCGCAGTCTTGGTCTGGTTGAACTGCAAACACAAATTGAGGCCAGAGCCGTGAACATTCCCGGGTGTCCTCGGTGGGACCTGCCAGAGAGACCCAGCTGGGGGTCAAGGGAACACCGATAACGAGAGAAGAAAATGTGCTTTCTTTCGATCACTTCAAACGGTAACTACTGAAAAGAAGTGCCACAAGATGGAGCCTTTAAAGTCTTGGGATCTTCGTAAAGAAAACCCCAAGGAAATTAATACATACAAGCTTATCTATTAGGGGAGTAATCCCCAGGCAAAGAAAAATGTTACAGTAGCCTGCAGCTAGTTTCCATACACCCAGAAAAATGAATGGAGTTTTGGTGACTTTCACTTTCTTCGTTACAAAGAGACCACTTACTTAGGTATTTACACTAGTTCTCGGTTTTTATAGCCCTTAATTGGTCCTTCTGAAATTGAAAGCTTGTTCCATGCACTCTTTATTTTTCAGTTGCACATAAACAATGTCATTAGTATCTAACTAAAACCAAGTGTTAAATTGTATCACTGTGCTGATGCTGTTCTCTGTTCTTACCACACCCAGCATGTGTCTTTAATGGCAGGGTCTTTCTATCTCATCTGCTTTTTGGTGGGAAATGCACGACCAAAGCTGTTYAGTGTTTATTTAGCAATAACAGAGTCGTCCTTTTGCTCAGTCAGCTGTGACCTGGGGCACTGTAACTGATCACTGGAGTTTCCTCTGGTGMTGTTGGGTAYGCTCATCTATCAATTTCTATAAATAGTTTCCCTGTGTTAAAGACTGGAAATAAAAGTGTCTAGGCCATAGATTCATCTTCTCTCCCACACAAAGATATAGCAAGARCGGCCAATTAGAAGATGCAGTGCAGTAAGTAATTAAGAAATATCAGCAAAACTTCATTTAACAGAAATTATGGGTTTATATTTCACCAGTACGTGGTGTAGGACATACAGCCCAGCACGAGGGAAACTTCTCTCCTGTTACACTGCATAGCAGTGGGTTGGCCAGATAACATTATGTTAACCTGGGCAATAATAATAATGATCGTAGGTACAAGCTTACGAAGACAGCATTGCCACTTGGAAGGAGGGAGAGGAAAGCAGCGYATCATCTGTCTCCAAGGTCTTTTTGGGTCTTTTTCCTAGTAGGTCTGCCATCCTTATATACAGCCCAATCTGATCCCCCTCCTGCTACATTACTTTATAAGTAATCTTATGATCTATGCATGATCTAAGCAGAGAATTGAGTGAAAAAGTCATTTATGTGGTAGCATGTATTTCATTAAGCTTATTGGCATATGCAGGTGTGAGCATTTTATTATTTGAATGACTTTTAATCAGGCAAATATTTCTTTTTTGSCCATGGTGTCCTTCAAAGTTCTGGTTGTACATCTTCTGTTTTGTTCCAGTTGTAAGTCAAACCCATGTCTCCACAGGACCTTTTCCTTCAGCCAGCTCATCCTTTCTTGACTATGCAGACATATGCAAAGACAGTGTAGAGGGTACACAGTATAGGCTGTAGATGGTAAGCATTAGCTCTTGCCTGGCTCCTTGGTCATCATCTGATGGAGGAGTTGAAGAAAGGGATGGCTGTGTGAGGAAAAGCACCTTGCAGGTGGCTGGGATGTGAAGAGACTGACATCAGAATCTGGTTACAGAGATTGGCCACAAGATTGTTGGGGGACCAAAAGGAGGAGGAAGCCTATTTGGGTGTCTGGGGAAAGATGAGGGGAAAGCATCATGAAAGCTGATGATTATTGCCTGGGAAAGTGAGGAAAAATGGGACTGGGTGGACAAGGTGAACAAGGTGAATGAGTGAGGAGTAAGAARGTAGGAGGCTGAGTGAGTGAGGCCACAATCAGAGTGAGTCAGAGGCATGAATTACTAAAAAAGAGATTGGAGCAATGAGCTCCCAGAGGAATGAGGGGAGACTGCAAAGGTCAGGGCTTAAACACACAGAGGTGCGAGCAGAGGCTTGGCCAACAGCCTCCAGGACCAGTGATGTGATGGTCAGTGGCAGTGCCCTATCCCTGTGRTCAACAAAGTCTTTGAACCCGGGCATAGCCCTAGCTCTGTCCTGGATTGCCCAAGTTCACATTGCAGGAGACTGGAGCTATGTCACTAGAACACATTTCATGGGTGGGGGCCTCTCAGGAACCCTTGCTGTGCAAGGGCTGGGCTCATGGGTAGCTCTTCTTCCCGGGGCATTTCCAGATTAGCTGGCCTGTGGCTGAAAAACCCTTTTTGGCTTGATTTTTAACTAGCACGCCTCCTAAAGTCTTCAAATTAAAGGCAAACGTGTGCCCACTATATGAATGCACACCTTAYGTACAATCAATGCCCAACTTATTACGCCCACTGAAAAGCTTTTCTGGCAAATGACATATTACAAAAACATCTATTTTGACAAGTAACACRCATATCTAGAATTCAGCGCCATCTTTTGAAATTCTGCCATCAAAATAGGCACCTGCTTCAAAACACCGCTTCACACCGCGCCCGCCCGCTCCCGCACCCCCCAGCGAAATGGCGGCGCCGCCGAGCGCCGCGGCCACGTGATGGCGGCGCGKCCGTGCCTCGGGAGCGCGGCGGGGCGCAGGCTCCAGCCCCGGCCCGGACCCGGACCCGGTCCYGGTCCCGGCGGGRTTTGGCGGTGCGGRGCCACAGCGGCTCGGCGCCGTGCCGGGATGTGCGAGCGGGAACGACGAGGGGTGTCGCTGCCGGCCGCGCTTAGTGCGCTGCGTGCCGGGATCGTGCGGCGCCGCCTCGGTTCACTGGAGGCTCGAGTATCCCCCGTCTTGCCATTCAAACCCCAATTCATTTTCCCCGGGAAATAGCTGGAGCGCAGGGAAAGCCACTGAGCAGTCACCGGCCCCTCCGGACGCTGTGTAAGAGGCTGGCTCCAGCGCCGCGCACAGCCGGGGGGGAGCCGTGTCTCRCCACTGACGGAGCGGGCAGGAGCAGAGGACAGAGGGGGAGCGGAGAGTGGGATCAGATGTGCCACAGGGAAAGCCGTGCCTTTCCTCTCTCAGGGCTCTGAGGAAAGCCAGCGCTGAGAGCGGGGACAGAGTTCTTGTCCCCTCCGCTCTGCAGGCCGGTTTTGCTGTTGAGTGAGCCCGTGGCCGTGGAGCGGGCGCCGCGAMTCTCGGCGGCGCTGGGAAGATGAGCCGCGGTGCGGGATGTGATTCTGGGCACCGYGATTCCCTGTCTCTCGCTTATTGCGGTAAAACACGCTGAGGATACCTGTGGCGGTGTGAAGCAAAAAGTATGGGACAGCTGATCGGAAGGACAAGCCTGGCTTGTTTTCTGCTTTTCTTTACTGGCTGTCATGACTTACAAGGTGTAAACGCCAACAGCCAGCCCTGCTTCTCGGGACGCAGGAATGTGGTGAAGATGCCTCCGAGAGGCAGAGACCGGGCTTTATCCTCAGAAGCACCTTTTTCCCTGTGGGCTCCATTCATTTACAAAAGGCAAGGACTGGACAACCTGTGTGGTTAGGTGGCAGTAAGGAAGGCGGGAACTTGGCCATGGGGYACGCCAGAAGCTGGGTGTTGCTGAATGAAAGCGACCCTGCCCCGTGGCAGGCTGTCAGCAGAGCTCTGGAGATGAGGAACGCCTCGGCCGGGCAGATGGTGTGGCCGGGCGGGAATGGCAGCGAGCCGGGCGCCGCCGGGAGCGAGGAGCGCGGCGAGGAGCAGAGCTACCGGCACTTCACCACCACCGTGCAGGTTGTCATCTTCGTGGGCTCTTTGCTGGGTGAGTGACAGTTGCTGGAGTTCTCTGTTGTTTTTTTAATTTTTTTTTTTTTTTTTTTTAATGCTTGCGGTCAGGAACGGCAGACCAAATGGTAACTGGCATCATTCGTGACTCTTCTTACTGCGTTTCAGGTCCCCAGGTGTGGGATTTCAATGTTGTTCCTTGTGGGTTTTAATGTGTAAAAGCTATTACTATAAAATGCTGTTTCGTCATGGATGAGAACTTACACATTAGATGTAAATATTACTTAAAATAAATGGGTTGATTACACGCTTATTTTCTGCTGCAGTGGGATCTGTTCTCTTTAACATAAAAAAGGTGTAGCGTGTTTTAAACAAGTTTTTCTGAATTTCTGTTTCACACTGCAGTAATTTGGTATTTGTGCCTCGCAGATTTGAAATAAATCCTTTGGAAGTACTTGGTACTGTAAACATGTATAACCATGTGCAATCTTGCCTTATTATCCCTACAGCAGGAATCATACACTTTAGATATGTGATAGTAAGCTATTGCTATATAATATACGAATGTGAATATTTGCTTTCTGAATATTTATAGTAAATTGTTTTGTTAGGAATATGTGTGCATTTCTTAACAAAAAAAAGGCAAAATAAGCCTTATGGTGAGTCAAGTTAGCACTGTGTTGGAGATAAGTAAAYTAAATTTCAGTAAAATGTCAATCATATTATTTCAACCATTCAAAGCTTTACACACAGGGCTTCACTGAAAAAAAGTCTAGATCTTTTAAGAGAGTTCAGCAGCACTTCGCTGATGGTCATTGGCTGATTTTATCAAGAATTTGTTTTGGGTTTTCCTGATCTTGAGTAATGCTTGAATCCATTTTTGTGATCATGGTAATAAATTCTAATATCTATCCCTTTTTGGTAATATTGATATCAGTTATATAATTTATAAGAAGATGGTAAGCATAGCCATGGAACAGTGTTGAGCCCCAGTCAACTGGTTATTACTGCAAATCACTGAGTCTTTTGGCATCAATTATTCCTCTGTGCAGTGAGRGTAATCCTCATGGTTCTTGCTTCTTTTCTTTTTAGCACATAGGCAGTGTGGGGAAAGGATGCTATTAACATCCTAGGTACTCTGTGTTTTTCTGTATGTTGGATAGTACCTGGCACAATACAGTAGCCAGCAAATAGTGTCCAAGATTAGATGAGAAAAGTTAGAATTTTAGTTCTTAATTTTTTGGGATTACAGAGAATGAATTTGGGTCATAATGTCCAGATTTAGTTTCATGTRCATGGATGCTTCAATTTTACTTGCAGAAGAAAATAGACACTACGTGTAATCCTTCCTTCAGCAGCTAGGAGTTTTTAAAAACCAGCCAAACAAAAAATACTAGAGCTACAAATTTTGCAAGACTAATATAAGTTATGGTAGGCACTCCTGGAATTTGTTTTCAAGAGGTGGACTGTGAAAGGATTTCAACATGCCACAAGGGGTTTATTTGCAGATTGGGTGGTTGGGAGGCTGATGAAACTGATCAATAACTTTGCCAGGCCTATCAAAGAGCTAAACAGGGGAGGAAATAATGAAAATGCACTAGTCCAATGACAAATATTAGCAGTGGGTGGGTCTTGTGAATTTTTAGTGATGGAAACCAGTTTGAACTACTTTTTTACAGCAGCCTTCGTTTCTGGTCTCCTGTGTACCTGAAATGCTAATTTAACATATGTATCATACACACTGTCATAACAGATGAAAACCTGGGGGTCTTTAAAAATATCTTCCAATAGCTACCCAATGAATGTACTACTATTTCTTCTTTACTGAATGGAAAGAAAGCCACAAAGAAGCTGAATCTACAAAACGTCTCATGACTTTGGTGTGTGTGTGCTCAACTCCCCTATGTGCCAGAAGTTTTGCATGTGCACATGCTGCACAGCATTGCTGCATCAGCAAGGGATAACAACTGGATATTTACCTCACAATTAATGCTTGTTCAAATGCTGTTAGTTCAGTTATTTATTCTCTGCCATTGTCCTTAGAGCTTGAGTGGCATCCAGCTCTTTTCTCCATCAGGTGAGCCCATCAGTTGAGCTGCAGAACAGAAGTTCTTTGTTCTAGTGAGTCTCGGGTTCCTCTTTGCAGAGGGGCAGCCCTTCAGTAGGGGGATAAGATGATTCTTCTCCCTAAAGCATAAGGTAGAGATCATGTCCCTCAGAGGTAGGATGTGTGGGTTTGCATCCTATCTGGTTTGGGTGGATGTGCAGTTTGTGCATTTAAGAATATCAGTGTGTGCCCACACACACTTGGGCCAACAGTWAAAGGAAGAAATTACTTTTATTTTCAGCTTGAAAGGGAGCAAACTTATATGACTCAGTCTTGATAATGATTAGAGAGGTCTGACATTAGCAGGAGTCTACAGCATGGAGAGGTTCAGGTCTTGCAAAAGGGAAGAATCAATTTGGTGTTGTGCATTTATTTTAGGTGCCTGCTGCACAGAAGAATGTTGTCCGCTGTGAGAGAGATGGACGTTATGGTTTTATTTTCTCCCATTTAAAAACCCTGTTTGACACTTGTGGGAAGATTTCGAACACTAGGATAAATTCTTATGTTAGTTCTCACTGTGTTATGACAAAGGAGTGCTGTTAAGTGTTTCATTTTACCTGCTGAAGGCAAAGAAGAGTCAAACCACAATTCTTTATGGTTACTTTGGAATACATTGAAAGCACATTCTCAGTTTATATAATTCTTTTTGGTTTGCTTGTTCATTTCAAGCTTGGGATGTCATAGGGCTCCTTTTCCAAGAGRGTAAATTTTAATAGCTTCCTTTTTATCAAATAAGATTCTTGAGATCAGTTTTGCTGTGAATATAGAGTACAGAAGGCATATTTTTCTCTTGCCATTAGAAGGAATCAGTCTGCAGAGACTAATTATTGCTTTAGCTTTAAAAGAAGGAAGAGGGTGTATTACTTCTGAGGGTGTATTACTTCTGAGTTTTGGTGGGGAGAGGTCACTGCAGGTGACTGAAGCTGCTTTCAGTTGAGTGCAAGCAATGAGACGATGTCTTGGAAATGAAAATGGTCTCCAAAGATCTCTTGGAACCAATATGCACAGGGGGCTTAGCTTGAAAGGGAGATAAAAAAGAAATTCAGTTTGCAATGGCACCTTCCCAGGAGAGGTAAATCCTCACAGTAAAACATTCCTTCCATATATCTAACTTAAATTTCCCCTTTTCATGGTTTGTGGTTTCTATTCTTTTCCTATTTCCAAGGATTGAGAACAAGCATTTGCTCCTGAGGTTATTTGAGTATGTTCACAATTGTCATGTTAGCCATGTAGATAAAACTGAATTTCTTCTTTAAAAAATAAGTGTTGTCAGATGTTTAGGAAAAAAATTCACACACACAAAAATTGGTGCAAATTATGRGAAAGAGATGTCCTCAGTGCTAGTGTCAACTTCTCATATTGAATATGCATCTTGCTTTCTATGCCTTTTTACTAACTATCCCAAATAAGCCCAAATCCAGGAAGCTTTCCCAGACCTTCTAGATCAATGCCTTATTGTGAGGTTTGGGRAATTAGGCTCTATGTTACTTGCTCTTTTGTCTTCCTAAATTTGTCATGTACAAAAAGAAATTTAACTGGAAAGGCTGAGGGTGCTCTGATAAAGTTTGAACTCTAGTTCAGTGGTTATAGCACTTTTTGGAAAGCTGTGGGGTAGATTGGTTACCTTCTGGTTTCTAGCCACTCTGAAGGAAAATTACGTGCTTTGAAAGACATATCTGATTTCAAGTGATCCCCTGCTGCAGTGTCCGGCAGGACAGCCTTGCCCCTTTCTCCCTGGCCAKGAAACTGATTTTCTTCTCCCTGTTTTGATGCCTGTGCAAAGAGATTAATTTGAAAAGGGATAGATGCCCACTTGGTTACAAACCTGAAGTTACTGGCAGCCTAGGTATCTGCTTGTAAAGGCAGATATATGTTAACATAAGGAATAAATATATCTCTGAAAAGCTACCAGTAAAGTTTGCCACAGGCATCTTCTACAAAGAATGGAGCAGGGAATCTTGCAGTAAAAAATACTGCAGATATGTGATTCAAGGCTAGACTGAGAGAATTTTTAAAGAATGAGGGTCATGTCTGCAAGACCTCCAACAATAATTTATAGCYCTGCTCACAAAAATGGTAGAGTCATCTGAGGGGAAGAAACAAAAAGRTTTGGGGATGGGAATGATGGTGTTTTGTTCCTACTGGTGTCACACTTACAAGACATGTTTCAGATGAAATCTTCTAAATTAGGCACTTTGCATAGGTTAACTTAGTTGCTGATGAGCTGGGATAGAGTTTGGCAAAGCAAAAAGTGACTGAAAATCAGGTCTAAAAAGAAGCATCAGGCAAATAATATGAATGGCTGCTACATGTAATAATARTTGCATAGTAGTAACATATTACACTATCATAACATTGAGGTAATAATTTTTTCCTGAGGTTTTCTGTGGGTAGTTCTGAGCCTCAGCAGTTGTGAACCATGCAGCAGTTAAGGCCAGCTCAGGATGCACCTTGGTAAAGTCTGCCTGGAATAGATGTTGTGTTTTTGTTTTTCATGTGTGTTCAGTTGAACTACCAAGTAATTCTCTTTGGAAGAAAAATTGAGTTTGAGGAGAGGATGAAGAAGGGTTGTGAGAGTGCTGGGGCCCCTGTTGCCATGGAGACCTCTCTTCTCCCCGAGCTTCAGCAGAGGCGCCTTGTCTGGCTTTGGCTGAGGGGCCCCTCAGGTAGCGCTGCTGCTGCCTTTTAGGAGAGACACTTGGGGAAAACAGCCATTTACCTGGCTGGAAGCGTGAGGTGCAGTGATTTATATCTGAAATGCATGTGCCTGATACTGTGGGGATACTGTGTGCTGAAGAGTTCCCAGACACGTGCTGGGGCAGTTAACCAATGCCTCTAAAGATCATGGGGGTCAAGAATGTTAAACTGATCCCCATTTACAATAGAATATCCTGAGCTGGAAGGGACCACAAGGAGTCCAGCTCCTGGTT